AATCCTATCCGAGCCAAAAGGGGCTGGCTGTGAGATGACTGTAATGCTATTAGGTCCGATGTGCTGTATGCTATTTCTTATATTATACCTCACTTCACTAGATCTGGAAATCATATAGTTTAAATAACAGAATCTATAGTAAAATGTATTGAAAATTATTGGCAGTCAGCTTTCATAATGCATGTTTTGTAAAATATTTCTAGTGATTACATGCCGCTAAAACTTATTTAGTGGTCCTACAAAAAAACATGATAAAGCTGACTAAGGTGGTCATTTTTTTTATATGACAGCTGATATCATGGTGAATATTATATTATACAAGGCCAGCTGACACCAGAAAAAAATGTTTAAAATCATGCAGTTTACCAAAAAATTAAATTTACATCCAAGTTTTTTTCTTCCCTTTTTGCAAACATACCGTATAATTTTTAAGGGCAGGGTTGCTTCCCCAACCTGTGAAAAAAGGCCCTGGCACACTTATACAATTAAAGGAACACATTTATGTATTAAAGCTATAATATTTGTTAGATATACTGAATTGAAATATATGCACTAATGCCTTTCATTTAAACTGACAGGTTATGTTAGTTTACAATTCAAACTTGCATGAAACTTCATATTTTTTGTGATATGTATTATCATTACATTATTTACGACTTTAATAAGTCGCAGTTGCTTCACAGTTATGCCTAAAAACACTTGCACTTGCATTGAAAATACATGATATAGCAAAAGGAAAATGTTGAATAATAAGGACTCCATGACTGCCTTAAAACTGATGCAAAATCTTCTCTAAAAAAGCGGAAACAGTGGTAATTCTCCTATTTCGCTTAACTCTATTAGACCATATTGTCAAACTCGTAATGTTATATTGTTGGGGAGAAATCTATACTGGAAACTCATGCGGTCACTCGTTAAAACACAGAAACTTAAGCGAGAGTTTGAGAGTTTACCCAATACATTCATTACTTGGAATAACATCAAGTGGCTGTTATGGGAAGAATTAAATCTATATAGCCTAGCGGACAACAGAATAAGGTTTTAATCCATGCCGCGCACATTATCTCTTGTATGCCGAGAAAAGACTTGTTTCCTCTATACAAATTAATGACCATGGATTGGGATTAATTCTCAAGTAATTCTCGAGTAGCTGCGGCATATAAATCTTGATCTCGATCATCAGAAAATACCACCATATATCAGAATATGGTTGTCATGTGGTCAACGCTGTACCGCCCTTTTCCTGTTGACTTAAACGTTTTATACTGTCTGATCATTTGTTTTGCCAATAATTCTATAATATCTTAAATAGAAACAGGGAACAATTCAGGAAGAGAAATTATGTCATGTATAATAACGGAAGTTATATTAATGAAGGCATCAAAGATGAGAACATACTTATAATTAATTTATCTGCATAGCTTGAGCGTCATAATTCACAGGAGTAGAAGGTTATTAGAAATTTTTATTTTAAAGCGTACTGAACATCCTGTATTTAAAGCATTTCTGTTTATAGTTTTATATAGAAGATGAGTCTAAAATTCCAAATCAAGAACAATTCATAAACTTTCATGCAATCAAGTAAAATTGATTTTCGCCTAAATACTGACTAAAATACCACCATGGTGCCAAAAAAACTGGCATTTTACCCTTTATTGCATCCAGCCATGTCAACTGATTACGACTTTTATCATTTCAAAAAACACAAACAACTTTTAACTATAACTTAATACTCATGACACAGCCTTACATGCAATATGCCAATATGATATTACACTGTAACTGCAACTCTCTTTCTCTTTCATATTTTTTTTATTATTACAATGTAAAATATCTTAAATGTACTTGTCCGTCTTTCAATCCGGACAAAACCATTCATCATTTTTAGGGAAAATTGACAGATCAATGAAGACTATTATCAAATGGCACAGATGACCTAGATAAACTTGGTGCATCAGGGAAGAATAAGTCAAAGCTAGCAGGCTAAGGGTTAAGTGAAATATTCAATTGTATTTCTAACAAATTGTAAAACCCTAAATTTGTAACAATGGGATCTTCCTGCTTTGAATTTTCGACTGTCATTGTAAGGGTGTTTCCAATTTCTTTTCATCAAATAAATGCTGCAAGTTGGCAGGACAGTAATGAGGAAAGTGTGACATGGCTGTAAATAATTATGATTTTGCAAACTCCAGACCTGGCACTATACTGGCAACAGATGTGCCAACGAAAAACAGCCAATTTTGTCAAGGGGAATATTTTAATCTACAGGTTGAAAATACAGCAGATTTTAACAGCATTTCAACCAATGATATGGATCGCAAATCTATTAATAATGACAAGGAACATCGCAATGCGATGCAACCAGGTTTTCAGCAAAATATTTCGCAGAAGCTTTGTCATGAAGGGGCATTTGTTTTTAAATTAAATTTAAATTGAACTTTTAGGAGGAATTATGGCTTTTTTAATATTCCTCAAACAAAAATGATTGAGAAATTTTATGTTGTCTATTCGCCTTTTTTTCCCAAATGTTTTAGAAAGGTAAACAGTAATTTTTGCTTAATTTTTGCATTTTTGCGTCTCTTGTCATTTTCTTTTGTCAACAATATTGGCGTGTGGTGTTTTGTGCGATATCAAGAAAAGTATGTTCACAATTTTAAAACTAGGGCACTTGATGACAAAGCTTCTGTGAAAGTTTGAACAAAATCCGTTGAGAAATGTAGGAAGAGTTCAGCACAGAAGAATTTGTTCAATTCTGTATAAGGAAAAAAAACAAAGGGCCATAATAAGATCAAATATTATGCAATCACAAAACCCTGACAATATGCGCCAGGGCACATGATGACAAAGCTTCTGTGAAAGTTTGGTCAAAATCCGTTGAGAAATGTAGGAGAAGTTGCGCACTGTAGAAATTGTTCACTATATATTCTATATAAGGAAAAAAAACAAAGGGACATAATTAGGTCAAATATTATCTAATCGCAAAACCCCGACAATATGCGCCAGGGCACTTGATGACAAAGCTTCTGTGAAAGTTTGGTCAAAATCCGTTGAGAAATGTAGGAGGAGTTGCGCACAGAAGAAATTGTTCACTATATATTCTATATAATGAAAAAAAACAAAGGGCCATAATTAGGTCAAATATATACCAATTGCAAAACCCTGACAATATGTGTCAGGGCACTTGATGACAAAGCTTCTGTGAAAGTTTGAACAAAATCCGTTGAGAAATGTAGGAGGAGTTGCGCACAGAAGAAATTGTTCACTATATATTCTATATAATGAATAAAAACAAAGGGCCATAATTAGGTCAAATATTATCTAATCGCAAAACCCCGACAATATGCGCCAGGGCACTTGATGACAAAGCTTCTGTGAAAGTTTGGTCAAAATCCGTTGAGAAATGTAGGAGGAGTTGCGCACAGAAGAAATTGTTCACTATATATTCTATATAATGAAAAAAAACAAAGGGCCATAATTAGGTCAAATATATACCAATTGCAAAACCCTGACAATATGTGTCAGGGCACTTGATGACAAAGCTTCTGTGAAAGTTTGGTCAAAATCCGTTGAGAAATGTAGGAGGAGTTGCGCACAGAAGAAATTGTTCACTATATATTCTATATAATGAATAAAAACAAAGGGCCATAATTAGGTCAAATATTATCTAATCGCAAAACCCCGACAATATGCGCCAGGTCACTAAATGACAAAGCTTCTGTGAAAGTTTGGTCAAAATCCGTTGAGAAATGTAGGAGGAGTTGCGCACAGAAGAAATTGTTTACGCCCGCCCGCCCGTCCGCCCATCCGCCCGCCCACCCACCCGCCCGCCGCCGCCCGCCGACATACCTCAATCTAATAACCAGTTTTTTCCTTCGGAAAACCTGGTTAAAACCCTGTTGGTTGGCAATGACCGGTGATTATCCAATGACTTCTAGCATATATCAATATTCATTCAACTCGTTGTGTAATTTATAAGTACCAATTTACGAAAGTTTTTATTTTACTTTTGCACGATTTCATTCTATACTCACTGGACATCAATAAAGTGATTGTTACAGCAATTTGTTCTTAAATTTCTACAATTTAGATGCATGGAATTCACAGCCCAATTCCAATTGCAGGACATTTTAAGTTTAACCAAAAGTCCTTGTGACCACTTTATTTCACCACACAGGGAACCCAGTGCCCATCAAATACATAATTATGATTGATATTTTCCCTACCAAACACTGTAAATGATTGATCACAGAATTGTAAAGTAATAACCCCCTTACAAACCCTGTAATGACTAAATAATGGCTAGCACGAGACTATTTATGATTATACACACACACGGTGGCTACATAATACATATGCTATAACTGTTGAACTAGTTTCCCCACTACCTACACAAAATGGAATCACTCTTGCTACAACATTTAGAATTGTTACAAAGAGGGCTGTCTCAATGAACTTAACAAATAGTGGTGGTGGTAGTTTACCCCCTCCCCCCAAACACACTTTAGATCACTACAGTAAGCCACATTGAATTTACCCGAGCAAAGTTCAGCTGCCACACAAACTGAGCTCATCCTTTTATGTATTATTCATATAAAGAGTGTCAAACATCATAATTATTTTTTTTTTAATCCCCATTTTCGTTTAAAGAAATAAGAAAACAGCGATCATGAGGTATGGGAAACGCCCTAAGAAGAGTTCTTATAATCTCATTTTTGAGGCTCAATTCAAATCAATGAATCAACTTAGTTATCAAAAGAATATGGATCCACTTTTTTCATTACCATACTTCGATAACAAATTTTCTAAGAAATCTGTAACATTTCTGGTCAATGATATTTAATATGTGTCGTTCCTCTTGAGAAACGAGAATTTTCACTGTAAAGGAATACGAGGGGGGAAAATGGACATCATTGCTTTTTATTCAGTCCAATAATTGTGTCTCGATTCAGTCCAGATGATGAAATCTATGTACAACAATGACCGTACACTCGTATACTTACTGTCATCTGTCTGAGGTGCGGACAATATCGTACTGTGTTTCATCTTCACTTCCTCCACGTTGGACGCTATCTTATCTATCATCTGACGAATTTCTTCAACCTACAAAACACAAAGTGTAAGATGTATTATTTTTTACGTAAAGTATTTTTTTACATAAAGTAATCAAAAGTACAAAATACAGCCATTCAATTTCAATATACATGTATTGAATGCTGAAAAGTAAAAACACTTAGTGTCTGACTGTTTTGAACTATTTAACCATTGATAAAACAAGAGAATCAGTTAAAATCGGCTATTAATGTAGGGTCAAATCATATAATCGTAATATCTCAAAAGTTGCTCTCTTCTTCTTTAGACAGTTTTCGTATACCTTTTTTAGTGTATTTTGTAATGTGAGATGGCGTCTTCCAGTATGACCTCATTATTTAAGATAATCCCATGTTGAATATCATGTTAAGGCAAAGGGGTATTTCTCTGAAAGCTTAATTTTTTGAATTAATATACCCCTTTTAGCTGTACTGCTTTATTTGAAGAATATTGGGGTTGTGCTACTCACTCAAGGGGTCAGCCATAATGACCTTTTAAGTTTAGGCAGCAATAATGTTCTCATGTAATGACCTTTACTTTCACCTTGCAGCTGTAGCATTTACCATCAGTATAGAGTAAGGCAAGCCTGCACTCTTGTATTATATGACCATAATAAAATCATAAATTGCACAATATATATAGCATGTAAATAATTGTTCCTTGAATCTTGAATATTCTTACTTTTCTTAAAATCTTTGTACATTTTTTCAAGTTTGATTTTCTTGAAATCTGTTGGATCATCTAGAGGCACGCAGCTGTAAGGATTAAAGCTCTTTTTTGAGCAATCATGATGTGCGGATTAATTATTTATTAATTTTGATAATTCAATCTGCCAAACCTGATATGAAATATTAATAAATTATAATCATAATCAACCTTGAAAAACATGTATTTCAAGAGGTCAAATAAAATGTTCATAACCTTCATCTATCTTCAGGACAAAAAAGTCAATTAATTGTCAGTACATTTCAAATACATTATTTCTGTCTATAAGGTCGGCTATATAAACAGAATTTCTATTTCATTTTACAATCATTGGGAATTTCATTATTAGATTTGATATGGCAATATAAACAAAACTGCTATGCTTGTTTTCTTTTATAAGCCTGTCATTTTAACTTGGCTACTTGACATTTCTTTACATTTATTCATTCTATAGCGCTTTATCATTATATACTTTATAATAACTACAATATTCACAGTGGATTTTCTTTGCAACCCTGCTTTTTCTTTTTTGTTGGGTTTAAGTCAGTTAACTAAAATTGGCAAGGTCATAATAAAAATAGCTTTCAACATACTATTAATTATAGGAAGACCTCAGGGTTTTTTTTCAGGCATCAGTCCTTAGGAAAATATTATCAACCTTTCATCAGCTTGCTGGACAGTTTCCTTTCTTAAAAAAAACAACAAAACTTTGTTTTCCTCCATTAAGAAAAATCAAGACTTTGACATATTCTGTTCAATCTTAGTTATTCAATATACAGACATACTTGTGTTAAAAACCACCTCCGATTAAATATCAACTTGTAAGTAAAGGCCACTCTTAGTTAGACAACCTTTTATTGAAGAAGTAGACAGAACAAGAAGTAGAACAAGAAAATCTCCAAATGAAGACCACTTGCCTATAAAGACCATGTTCAGTCTCTCATATGGATGGGATGGCCATTGTTCATGGGTGCGACTGTATAATTACATGAGAAACATGTTGTGAATAGGAATAAAAGAGTCATATTGATTGTGTTTGTTATTTGTGAAGTTTATTCCCTTTAGCATAGTTTAAGTTGAAATATATGTAAAATCTTTCCAAAATCATACATCAATTGCTTCAATGCCCGATTGCTAAATTTTGTAACATAACAAACACACTGTTTCTTGTCAAAAGTTGTCCGTGTTGTATCTTTACAATTTTATTACAAATGTATATGTGTTATTCTGACATTACTTTTAAAGTATATCTTAACTTAAATTTCCATAAAAGATTATGTTATGCTCAATTTTGATATTTGAAATATTGATAATTGCTATATAGTCTTTTATAAATGTAAAAAAAAACCATCTTTTGAGTATACACTGAGAAGAATGATACTCTAGAACAAACACTGTGTGAATTCACAAAAAAATGGCAGTTATTTGAGAAAGTACCAAATTAACTTGACCAGTATTAGGGAATGCATGCAGCCTCCTAAACATAGTTTGTGCATTCTTACTTTCAGATTGGAAATATTCAGTAAGAATGTCTAAGATTTCAATAAATTTCTGCAATTAAAGTATTCTACCCAAAGATGAGCATAGTATATTTTTTAACACACACTGCAAGCATTAGGCATACTTAAAAGATATATAAAAGATCTCAAGTCAACGTAATCAATAAAAAATCTTTTATTATCATTTCCCTCAATGCAAAATCACTCGACTTCTTTTCCATTCACAGATAAATCGAGAGTTCCGACATGAATGTGGAATATATATCGTCCTCGAAGCATATACGTACAAAAAAAAATTGTAAATGGTGCCGTTTATTGATTCCACGTTTACCATTACATTGACAGTTATGAATGATGCTGGGACAATATCGCCCATCATATACACACACACGAAAATTGCTCAAATTACACTGTAGTTATTTGTACGCTTTACCGCTGCAGCCAATTTGCTGCGTTAGCAGAATTTTCATTCAATATGAAATTTTATGACTGTCTTCTGAAAAAAGATACTGGGACAAGTTTGCGAACTGATCATCACATGACATTTTCAAGCGAGTTTCTAAAAATGAGATCCTACGCCACAGTAAAAGACTAAAAACTCTGAACAGCAAATTAAGTTTTGCTTCACTCACTTTCAAAATGAAACGTTCTAAAACTGTGTGGCTGGGTATTGATTTATAATAATAAAGATTTGTATTTTGTAAGGAACGTGTAAAAAATGATTGAATAAATACTGGTGATCAATATCCTACCAGGGATTGTGATATAAATATAAAAGTCTTTATCAATCAATTTTGTTTACTGCTTGTACAGAATACAGTTCTGAAAAATGTGCAAGAGGAACTCAATCATATAGTTTAGCAGACACCGGAATATAAACCAATATTTGCATGCTTGCTTTATTGGGACTGCTGCACCCACAACTCTCCCCCTACACCCCCCATCACTCCCACTCTTTTTTTATATATTTATTTCTTTAAACTAAAAGAAAATTCAGAACAACACCTTATAACAGCATTATTACTATTATTAAATTACAAACTTATGATTGTGATCATTTTGCTTGAACTGAAATATTGTTTCACGTGTAAAATTCACAATCCTTTATTCTTTTTATTAAAATAATTATATTCTTTTTAATAAAATATTCTTTTTATCAAAATATTCTTTCTATTAAAATATTCTTTTTATTAAAATTGAAATGATAAGTGATCATTTAAAGCATTTTAGGCGATAATTCATTTTTGTTGCATGATAACAAGTTGCCGACACTGATTGTTCGTTTTTGTAATACAGAGAAAAACTAACACAGATTATCAACAAAAACCAGTTTTCAACAAATTATGATGTATTTTAATGATTTTTTTTTTCAAAAAAAAAAAAAAGATGTCTGACATTTCCAGAAATAGACCCTGAGAGACACAATTATGTTTCTTTAAAGGAATCTTCAATAAACAAAATCTCGTCAAATTTCTAAAAATAGTCAATATAGGATTAAAAACATCAGACCGCCAGAAATAGATGAATGAAAAATAGGCGATATTTTGATATAGAATTTTAATGAACAGCAGATAGGGGCACAAGGAAATAATGTGTGTTACAGACTATTGTTAAATATTCTGTCAGATCTGCGTTAAACTGACGTAACTGTATATAAATAAAAGAAACTGATATTATGATCTGGTACCGAGGCCATGGTAATGGTAAATCAATGAACATTGGAGAAGAAACATGTAAATTATATATCATATTAAGTAATATTGGCTGTAAGTGATTTGTTTCAATAATCGAGGGTGGCGCTATGTCGTAAATCATGGTTATGTCTTGCTAACTGAGCCTCCAGCTACACTTTGTTAACATTATCCAACTATAGATTTAACTGATTAATTGAATTCTGTAAATAATTAATCTATTTATTGCTGACAATTGCACAATAACTAATTGATTTAGTAGTTTCAATTGGTACTAAGTAAATATTGCTACAAAATCTATAATGCATGTTTTATTTGAGCAAATTATGCACTTTTTTTAACCTTGAGATAAAAAAATCGAAAATATTCTTTACTAATTAACTGTCGGGTTTTTTTTTAAACCTTGAAGACTGGTATAAAAATATAAAAATCTAGGGGGGGAGGGGGGAATCTTTTATCATGTTATCAATTGTTTGAAAATTGTTTGATTCTTACATCTTTATGAATTTTTTATGTAGTTCTAAAAACAATGAGGAAATTAAAAATCATTCACCTATTATAATTTATTATAATTCTCAGTAAACATTCTAATCTGTACTGATGTTTCCTCATGCCTAAATGCACTTATTGAATAAGAAAGACAACAAGAGGGCCATGATGGCCCTGAGGTCGCTCACCTGTATATAGGCCCCCCCCCCCCCCAACGTTGCAAGGCCAATTTAACCCAAGGGCTTTTATTTGCACAATCTTGGTAGACACCCATAAGAAGATGTTTCATGCTAAACATCTAAGCTCTAGCTCATTGGGCTTTTTAAAAGAAGATTTTTTTAAAGTTTTTACTATACACATATAGTTAAAAACAATGACACCCCTGGGGCCAGCTGGCCAGTTTTGACCCCAGGGCTTTTATTTGAACAAACTTTGTAGACACTTACTAGAAGATGTTTCATGCTTAATATCTAAACTCTAGCTATTTGGGTTTTTTCAAAGAAGATTTTTAGTTTTTGCTATACACATATAAAGAAAATCAATGACCCCCGGGGCGGGGCCAATTTTGACCCCAGGTCTTTTATTTGAACAAACTTTGTAGACACTCACTAAAAGATGTTTCATGCTT